ACAAAAAAGGACACTGTCTGCCTAATGATTTCTTCCCATCCCACCTGCAGCCCACACAACCTTTTTTTCCAATTCATATCACAACGAATGCACAAGTTTTCTTATCACACAACTGCCCAAGAATAAAAGAAAAATTTATTCCATAAGTCTTGAAAGTTCACATAAACCGAATTCAACTATACCTATATTCAACAAGTCCAAGAAATCAATACAAACCTAAGCCATAAAATGAATGAACAGGCTCTAAGAGCCCTTTGATTTTCTATTCCATTGTTGTCGAAAGAATTACACACTTTGAAAGTCTGCGACACGCGTTTTTGTTTCTTAATTAGTATTATTTAATATTATTACTGTTATTATTATTATAATTTTTTTTATGGGGACCTTTTTTTTTGCCATTTTTTGGACTCGCGTGACAGACTGAACCGAAAAGGAGAGACAGCTCGTTGTCTAGAGGACTGCCGTATGTCAATGATGTTATGGGTTTTCTTCCCTTTGCGTATTTGATGTTTTTTCCCTTTCTCGATTTTCCTTGTTCTTTTTCGAGGATGATAAATATTCTTAAAGCAATAGATGAAAGCAGCTCGCAACACGGTATAGCAGTAACTTATCTCCACACAGAGGAACGCTCATGGGTTTTTCCTCAATCGGTCAATTTTTGAAGAATCTTTTTTTCATCTATGGTGGTCGTGATAATTTCGTGACCTCTTTTCCGTCGTCGACAGCACATTTTAATTGAATACCTCATGAATTCAGCGTCGTTTTACCTTCATGTCTTTGCATCAAATTACGAGCAGTACCTGCACATTTATATTTTGTTAACACGATCGGAGTCACGCACTTTAACACTCTCGTAAGGTTCGTTTCAGTTTCCTTGAGACCCCTCCTTAGTCATCAGTCTACAAATTACCTAACCCGTACAACCGTTACCTTTTCTAGGCGAGAATAAAAAATATTCCTAAATGTTATATGAAAAAAAAGCGTATTTATCCTTTGAGAGAAAATGTGCATCACACATGTGTAATTAGATGCAATGTGCTATTTTTAGTTATTTTTACTAGAAAGAAATTGATCTAAACCATTTCTTCTATTTTGTCGGTTGATCTCTCAAAAATGTATTTAGTCACATTTTGGCCGAGGGAGAGAGAGATCTCGAGTGTCTCAGCGTCTGGAAATATGAAATTAATAATTAGATTGTGGTTTTAAATATGAACTGAGGTTACGATTACTGGACGTTTTATTAGAGTTCTCTTTCCCATCGAGATAACCGGATACATCTGTGTGCTTGAATGAATTTATTTATTAAAATGGTAACCCGCTTTAGCAAAATGGCGGTTTTACTTTTCACGAAGGGCTCTTTTCTATATTACGAACATCAAGTTTGATTCAACCTTAAGTTCAGAGGAAAAATTAATTTCGTGATAATTTTTGATGTCAAAATTAAAGGGTCTTGTCCACGGGCTGAGTTACCTGCAGGTGTCATGTGCATTCGGTGTTCTTCATACATATTTTAAATTGCATTTGATCTAAACGAGCGATAATAAATGGCAAAACAACTTGATTAAACTTTACTTAATTTTAGTTTGGAGGCAGTTACAGCTGTACGCTCTTTATTTTATCTTACTTTTTATTTCACACTCTTGAGGGCGCGGTCTGTAAGATGGCCATCGACATTTTCTGAAAACCTTAAAGGTATAGGTGTGTGAAGTTGAGCAATAACTTAAGAGCTAGAATTATCATATTTATGAAGAGTTTATTTTTTGGAAAAAGAGAAGATATTTTGCTTGGATAGGATAAATAAAACAGTATATTTTTATCACTGGATGAAATTCAGACTTAACTGGTGTGAGCTTCTGCTGCGAAAAGCAACCCTATAGAACAACAAGGCTCTGTGAAGTAAAAAATTGAAAATCTAAGAATTTTATCCTATTTTCTTACAATACTCTACATTTGTGGCTCCTGCCTCCAATGAATGTCACTACTCAGTAACAACGCGGAAGGTCCTCTTATCTCAGCTGACTATAACTTAGTTTCCATATATTCTAGTTCCACCTCAACTTGCAAGTGACTAGGGTCGTTTCGTAATATTCTTAGTTCCATCTCTGGCGTTCTATGTGCGGCCGTTCGGTTTCTTCCTTTGAATTTTGCAATCTTAATGGCTGGTCTCCTCTTCGTGCTGCAAGAACGCAGCGCTTGCTGAAACTCAGGAATTCTAATTACATACACAATCGGATTGACAAAAGAGTTAGAATAGTTTAGAATGTTCACCATGTAATAAAAACTATTTGGTATTGATGTCGTAGTTAAAAAGATTAAAACGTCCATGATGATTAAGGGAAGCCAGCATACTAAAGCCAGTATGGACACCAGAAGAAGGGTCTTTGATAAGCGTCTGTTTCGCGAAGCTCCATTTCGATGCTGTGAGGCATCACTCTCGCGTTGAAAATTTCTTCAGATCGTGTTACAGACACATATGATGATTGTTAGACCCAACGAAACGGGGATGAAAACATACAAAATAGATTCAAATGAAATCGAAACATGTAACAAAGTTATTAATGTAGACAACAAGACAGAGAATGTCCAAACAAAAACATGCTATCGAAAATTGTATAAAATATATGGTAGGCCATGTGTTCAGAGTCATATTTTACTGTTCAAAGCTGATAGTAACCTCCAACAAAGAAAATATAAAAGAGCAGAGTGAAGGCTCCTAACATCAAATCAGCAAACGCCATATGCATATTCAGAACTAAAAATGAACTTTTCCTACGAAGTGGTTTGGTAGCTGCAAAGAGAACCAGAGTGAGCAAGTTTCGTGCAATGATTGGGACCGAAGATAAAATGAAAGTGCTGCATAGTGCGATCCCTTCTGCCTTGAAAGGAAAAATTCTTGTGGATGCAGACACATTCTCCGAGGTTTTGTTCCCTGCCGACGAGTCAATCGTTATAAACTTATGACTAAATGAACTACGGTAAACCAAGCAACAACGGCTGACAAGTATTTGTACTTCGTGGTAATTATATTCAAGAAGTTACGTGGTCCAGGTAGACAAGCCATTTAAGGTTCAACTAAAACCGTCAATAAAATGACTGTTTATCAAAGAACGCAACAAATGTTCATGTATTTTCTTGTTGAAATGGCAAGAATTGCACGGTTTTACGCTTGTTAAGGTTTTAACAAATTTCTTGTGTGACTCAAAATCTCTACAATAACAGACTAGGAAGTTATCCTTTCTCAACGAGAGATGATCTTCATTAAGTAATAGACGAAAGGTTTAATAACACTTCAGGATAATTAGCTCTTAGCCACATGTTACTCGATGCAATGATTAATTTTGCATCAAACAGCCATCGTACATCATTGAAATTAAACGAGTCGTAATAATTAGAGAAAGGAATACTAAGAAATTGTAATGTAGAGTTAAGTACATTTATGACTTCTATCGTCAAAACTTTGCCATCATACATTAAAGACAGCCAACACGCACTTGAAATTGTT